GAAACCCAGAGCAGGGGGTCTCCCTGTGGAGTGGCCCATAGCCTCATGAGGGCAGATGGATCAGTCATGAGGCTTGTATTGCCCCTCAATTGCCCAAATGACATCCAGGCAGGAACTGAGGAACTGGTAGCCTCAAGTGATTTCAAGGACCCTCAGATACTTCCTTCTAAAGAGCCTCTCTCAATAATCTCCTCTGCCCTGCCTCCTTCCCGCAAGGCAAAGCAAGGGTCAAGATGGGGAACACATTGCAGCATACTCATCATAGCAACTGTTCCAGGAAACTCTTGGTCCAGGCCCCACACTTTTTTTTTTTTTCTTTTGCCAGAGCATGTATATTCTCACCAGAGAGAGACAAAGAGAGAGGGAGCCAGAGAGAGACAAAGAGAGAGGGAGAGGGAGAATGAATCCCTCAATAGAGTATGGTCATACCACAATCTTTTCCCCTCCATGTCTCCATTCTGGGCATGCATGCATACATGTCTGGAGTTTTGTTTTGTTTTATTAATAATTTAGTTTTATTTATTATTGTTATTTTATTTGACTAGAGAGAGAGAGAGAGACAGGAAGAGAAAGAAATGGAAAGTGAGAACGCAAGCCACCAGGTCTGCAACTCGAACCATGGTCGGCCACGTGGGAGTCCAGTGCCTTAGCCACCACACCACCTGCCAGTCCCTGGTTTTGTTTTGTTATAAGAGAGATTTTTGCTATGGAGCATGTGCACTTGCCAGCGAGACAGAGAAAGACAGACAGCAAGCAAGAAATCACCCTCCAGGCAGAATGGCCATGCCACAATCCCTTCTCCTCCACTCTCCTCTCAGGATTTTGGGTGTGCACACACATAGTCAGCCACGTGGAATCTGGCTCCCTTAACCACTAGGCCATGGAGCTGGCCCCAGCACTTAACCCTCCATCCTAGCCATTCACTCTCCTGGAGCACTGCCACTCAGGGCATGAATTTGCTAGCAGCCACTAGCATGTTTCAAAGCTTGCATGTTTGTTCTGCAGAAGTCAGGACGGTAGCTCTGCCAGCTAAGTCCTGAAGAGATCTTGCACTGGATAACTGACTGCATGTTCTTCCACCCGGCAACGTTGGTATCTAGCAATACTTTCACCCAGCAACAGTGTCCTAGCATTGACACCTCAACAGCTCCACTGGCAACTCTGCCCTGCAGCATCCACAGTGCTGGAAATGCCGCCTTGAGTCACGAGACATAAGTCTAGCCCACTACCGCTCACCTGCAGATTTTCTCCCCTCTGACCATAAGGCTTTCCTTGGAGAGGTTTTGCCCAGGGTATTAATGATAATAATAGTGATAACAGGGAACAGAAGGTGGCGTGGAGGTTAAGTGTTGTATCCCACATGGCTGCCTTTTAATCACCATGCCACTGCTGGCCCAGAATCTTTCTTTAAAAACAACCCACTCTTGGGACTAGCAGGTGGCGTGGTGGTTAAGGCACTGGGTCTTACATGGTCAACTCTGCAGTTCGAATCCTGGGTCCTGCAGCCTGAAAAACACTCAGGCCACATGTGCATTTGTGCCCAAAATCCTGAGAGGAGAATAAAGGAGAAGGGACTGCAGAGTGACCATCCTCCTGTTGGGGGGTAATTTCTCACTTTTCCTTTCTGTGTCTGTCTCCAGCAAGTGCACATGCCCAGTGGCAAAAAAATCTAAAAACAAAACAACAAAAATCTCACTCTTACAAGAACTAACCCCTTCTCATGAGAGCTAGAACCCACTAGGTATCCAGTGACATCATTAATCCATTTAGCGATGCCTCCATGATCCAGGTACTGCCCACTAGGCCTCAACTCTCTTTTATTATTTATTTATTTAGAAGTTTTTGCTGTAGGGCGCATGCGCTCGCCAGACAGAGAGAGAGAGAGAGAGAGACAGAGAGACAGAAAGCGAGAAATCACCCCCCAGGGGGGATGGCCACGCCACAATCCCTTCTCCTCCATTCTCCTCTCGAGATCTTGAGCACACACACACACGTGCCCGGCATGAGTTTAAGCCACCGGGTCCGGGACATGAACCACGGTCGACTACGTGGGAGTCCAGTAACATAGCCATTATGCTAACTGCTAGTCTTTCCATTCTCTTTTAAAGAAGTATTTATTATTTTTTAAATTTTTATTTAATTTTATTTATTCATTTATTTTTAAATTTAACCAGAGAGAGACACAGAGAGAAAGAGGGAAAGTGAGAAAGCAAACCACCAGATCCAGGACTCGAACCATGGTTGGCCATGTGGGAGTGTCCAGCGCCTTACCCACCATGCCACCTGCTGCTCCCCAAAAGAAGTATTTCTTTAATTGTATTTATTTATTATTATTATTTTAATTTGACCAGAGAGAAAAAGAAAGGAAAGTGAGAAAGTAAGCCACCACGATCAGGACTCAAATCATGGTTGGCCATATGGGAGTCCAGCACCCTAACCATCAGGCCACCTGCCGGCCCCATGGGGAACTCGTGAGTTCATTTGTCCTAGGCTGTGAGACTGGGCTAGACCCAGAAAGGGTCTAGGAAGGCTAGGAGGGTGGTCCTACCACAGAGTGGGGAGCTGGCTGCCCCCTCGGGGAGAAGCCCTTGTTCCCACAGCTGTCCTACATGGGGAGAATGCTGCTACGAATAATGAGCCAGGCCTCTGCTCCAGGCTTCGGAGACTGACAGAGCTGGGAAACTGCCCTCTGCCCACTACAGACTGGCGCCTCAGCCACACCCCTGGGTTCCAGGCCTGCTGGTGTGGGCATAGAGAGGTAGGAAGGAGCATGTGCAAGGGGGCCGACAGAGTCATGCGACCAGGACTCTAGGCACCTGGAGGACATCTCTAAATGAAAAGTCTGCAACCAAGCTCATCGTCAGAAAAAGGGACCTGACCCTGGGTTTATGAAATCTAGTCCCTGCTTCCCCTTTTAGCCTCGGGTTCATCGTCGTCAGTAAGAGGGAGGCAGTGAGAATGCCGTAGGGAGTAAATGCAATGTATGTACAAAGCCCTGAGCACGGTGCTCGCTCTGCATATGGTGGGTGCTCGATAGTTGGGAGCTGTTTAACAGTGTTCCGACTCAGTCAGTGGGGGAGGAGAGTCTCTAGGGGTGTGCTACAGGGCTCTGTCCCAACCGACAATTATGGATGGTAGAGCTGAAACTGCAAGGGCCAGGCTGGATCTACAACTGGAGCGCGAGGAAACAGCGGGCAATAGAACCAGTGTGCAAACCAATTTCAGCAGGCTGGAATAAGCAAGATGACATTGTTCTGCTATGAGCTTCAAGACATCGCACAAAGCAGAGGATCGGGGAGAGACCTGACTTGACCCCAGCTCCGGTGAAAAGGATCTGAATGATTTAGTTGACCGCAACCTGATGGGAACTAATCATGGGAGAGAAAGGCTCTGAAGCCCAGCAGTCTTAGGCTGCATTAACAATGTGTCGCGTCCAGACTGGGGGAAATAATAGGCCTATTGTGCTGGGCTGGTCAGGCCATATCTGGAATCTTACATTGCTACACTGACAGACTGGAATTCAGCCAGGAGGGGGACTAGCCCAGCCTCAGTTCTCAGGCACTTGTGCAAAATGCTTCTTGTGGCTTTTTCTGGTTTTGGCCCCAAAACAACTCTATCAGGTAGGTACTATTAATATTCCCATTTTACACACAGAGAGGGAAGCCGAATTGTCGAGGATCTGCCACACAGCTAGTAAATGGAAGAGATGGGGGCTTTTCCCACTGGGCTCCTCTCGTGCTGGTATTTGAAGACCGAATATCCAGTCATGGAATGCATATTTATTTATTAAACGTCTACTGTGAGTGGGGGCCCTGAGCTAGTCAATGGACGTGAAAAACATGTGGCTCCCGCCTTCAGGAAGCAGAGTCTGATGGGGGACCCAGATCACCTGTGGTGTGGTGTGATTCTATGAGAGTGAGGATTTTAGGGCTGGAAAGGATCATAAAGTCCACCTTAGCCAAGCTAAGCATGAAGAGGAGAAGACAGACAGCAGTGTCATGGGCCCACCGTGGAGCCCGGGGGGGCCAGTCGGGGCCTTGTCACTGTATCCAGCTGCCTCATGGCTCTCTTGCCGAGCAGTGGTCAAGAGCCATGCGCTCTGATGGATCTGCTAGTGTATATGAGAAAGCTTGGTGTGGCCAGCTCTCTTTCCTGCATCCGGAGGTTTAAAGAAAGAAATAAGGAACCACAGAACAGTGGGGAGTAGCCTTTGAGAGTCCCTGAAGCCCCTTCCCTAATCAGAGAGAACTAGCATCTAACCATCCTCCAGAGTGTCTGGGAAGACTGGGTGACATTGGCTTTCCACCCAGAGGTGGAAGAAAAGACTGTTCTTTCTGGCATCGGAGCCTGGCTTCTGTTCCAGGCTAATGTCCTCCCATCTTCTTTCAAGGCCTAGATTATGCTGTACTCTCTTTTCTCAGTTGTTTCACCCCAGAGCGCCTCTGTAACCCTGGATCTCCCAGAGCTTCTTGGTGGGGAGAAACCTGGGCCCCATTCAGCCTTCTGGAATTCAGGCAAAGAAGGAGACAGCAGGGTTGTTCAGAGCAAAGGCTTTGGAATGGGACAAAACCTTGCAGGCCTGGCCCTGCCACACAGCAGCTGTTTCACTTCTTGTCCCCCTTTCCTCAGCTGTAAAATGGGGATAATAATAGTACCACCCTCATATGGTGGTTGTGAGGGCCCAGTGAGATCATGGTAAGTGGGAGGAAGCCATCCATAAAAGGCCACAGTTACTTAGTGTTCTAGTGGCCCAGGCCCTGGCTCCTCCCCACTTGAGAGCTCCATCCGGACAGGACAGCCACGGGGTTGCCTCATCTTTCTTCCCCATGGCAGAGGGCCCCACAGATGCCAAAGAGAGAAAGAGGGGGTGGTCAGTGTTGGGGAAAGAGAGAGAAATACAGGCAGGGAAAGGGCCCAGTCTACATCATCCAGGCTTGGAGGAAAGGGAGATGCGACCGGACTCCAGATTTTAAAGCGGCCATAGACCTCTGAGCCCTCACCTTGCTTAGGACCGGGGGTCAGAAGGTAGGGTTGTAGCCAGACTCCGGGAGAACTCACTCTGGGGGGGGCCTGGGCAGGTCGCTTTCAGCCTTGGGCCTCAGTTTTCTCGTGCGTGTCAGGAGGGGTCTCGTGGCCTTCTCGGCGAGTTGCAAGAAGCACGCGCAGCCGGATGCCGGTTCAGGGGCCTGGAAAACGTGGCTCGCTGGCACTGAGCGGCTGGGCGTGGGTGGAGGCGGGCAAGGGGATTGGCCGGAGGCGGGGCAGCGAGGCTCAGGGATTG